TCACGCCCATCGTTTTTAGGTCGACCCATTTTGTTCTTATGAAGTAAATTTGAAAATTCAAAATTCCATATTTTGATTTTGAAATTTTTATTACACCGACCCATCGAGGTGGACTCAAGACTCGAAGTCGGTTCGGATACATGGGCTGGGTCTGATGCGGACCCAATAGCCATGTCAACAAGTTAGGCCCCATGGGTCGACGGGCCAAGAGTGTCGGTTGGCCATGATATGCTCGAGCTGCACTTGTACCAAACCAATAAAGTTATTTGAAATTTGTTTATTTTGTTTATTTTAATTGACATATTAAGTTGGATTGGAACGAATTTGAACAAATGAAATTTGAACCGATTTCGAGTATTTTTATTTTTGAAAATCTTGAGTCGAATCTTCAAAAAGCCAATCTCGTGTATTGGTAACAAAAATTGAACCCTATCTCAGTAAAATCAATGCTCGATTCTATTTTGGCTAGTTTGCACTCTTAGCCTATGTTTGGTTCAAAGAAGTGGAGGGGAGGGGAGGGAAAAGGAGGGAAAGTAATTTTAGTTTGTTTGGAAGCATTTTGTAGGAGGGGACGTGAATGAAAATGATTAACCTTGTTTGGTTTGAAGATGGAGGGGAAAGGAAAATAAAATTATATGGACAAATATACCCTTATTTATTATGTAATACTCTCTCTTATTTTTTTAAATGTCATTCTAGCATTTTCAACTATTTGCCAAATAAATGTCGTTTTAGATCTTTTGTCCATATTTTTTCATTATTACCCTCATTTAGCCAATAGAAAGGATTGCTGCAAGGGGACAATGGTACGGAAAAGGAGCGCAAAAGCGCCAAATTCATATTCATATAAGCGCACGAAAGGAACCTCTATCTTCATTAAATAAGGTTATTATTGACAAAAAAATATTCTTAATTAATGTGCAACTTCTCAAAACGACATATATTAAAAATAAGAGGTAGTATTATATTTACAAGATATGAATTGAAGGGTAAATTAGTACCATTACACACATTCTTTTCCTTCCCCTCCAAGTTCCCCCAAAATTGGAGGGGAGCAGATTTTCCGTCCACAGTGAATTTGAGGGGAAAATCTCATCCTTTTCCCTCCCACAAAACCATACACCACAATGAAACCAAAGGTCGCAAGTTAAACCTTCACACCCAAAATGCATTTGCTCACCGCACCTTCAGTTTCCGGCGGCTTTTCCTTTCTCCCCCAATCTTCGAACT